AATATATATATAATAATATATATATATAAATAAATATATAAACATTATATAAATTTATATAATTGACGATAATAAAATTAATAAATTAAATATTTGTGAAATATTCATTGTTTTTATATCGATAAAATTTAATATCTTAATAAAAATATAATCTTTTAGATAGTTTAAAAATATTACATTTTAATTATTCATAAAGCCTCGATGGATTTCCAACTAATTACGATCCATTCTCTTTGGATGCAGTCGAATTGCTGTTATGAATGTTTCGAAGCATTTTTTGATTGGTCAATTAGTAAAATTCGTTCTTCCGATTAATCAAATCCTTTGAAACATTCGTAGTGGCAACTCGACCACACCCTTTATTTACTCCAGAGAGAAACCTCTCTGCTTACATTGTAAACGGTTCTCAGCTTCATCCAGTTTTTTATTGGAAGAAACGATCCAATACGATACCATACAGCTATTCATGCAGAGATTTGTTCGGTAAATTTAAGTCATGTGACTAGCAGATAAGAAATCAGTGATACAGTATATACAGTAGCACAACTCTCTGTCGGCACCTTTGATATTAGTGCTTGGCCAAAATGGAGTGCGCATGCGTGAAATAAATAAATTACCTGGTGTTGCCATGGTTACCACCTAAATTTCTTTCTTTTTTCATCCTTTTTTTCACTCTGTTAAAATTCCTCGCAAAACTCACTAGATTTATTCGCATCGCATTCCAATGAATTCGATGAAGTGAGTAAGTGCTATTGTAGGAACATATTAGAGCTTGCAACGTAAGTAAACCTACTATTGTAATGAAATAATTTAAACTTTATGAAAATTAATAAAAATCAATTGTAAATACGAGGACATTAATAAGTTCTTAGAAAATCTGTTAAAGGGCATTCGCAGTCACATTATCATCATTTTTGACAAGTAGCATCTTTCAGCCGATTACTGTCAAATTTTGAGCGAAATTCATCGCGTGGTTTCATTTCTATAGACGATTAAAGCGAACAACCTTTGTATTTTTATAAAATGGAAAAAAACGAGTTTCGTGCAGTGATCAAACATCTACATATGAAAGGTTTAATGCCGAAAGAAATCAAAGCCGAGTTGGATAATGTTCATAGCATATCTGCATAGCAGTCGTATCTGCATAGCGACTGTATACAATTGGGTGAATGAATTTAAACGTGGTCGTACATCCACATGTAATGCACTTCATTCGGGACGTCCAATTGAGGCTGTTACGTCAGAAATCATCGATAAAGTCCACGATATTGTCTTGACTGATCGACGAGTGAAAATGCGCGAGCTTGTTGAGATCACAAGCATATTACATGGCACAGTGATTTCAATATTGCACACTATTTTGAAAAAAATAGAATAATTAGAAAAAAATATTAAATTAACTTAAAAATGATGTATATTTGTATGAAGAAATATTATGTAATTATCTATCTATGAAAATATTATGAGAAAGCTGATATAAAAGAAATTTATATACATATATGTTCAAAAAGAAGTTTAAAATACGATAAATAAAAAAAAATCTTTCTTGCTCGGTTTTCTATGTTACTTTTGTTCACTTTTTTCACTTTATCATTTTTTCACAAAAATTAGACCAATCTTTCGAAATTTCTTACACAACATTTCACCAAATGGACAATACACGTAATATTTCCCTCTAAATTTCTATTCTGCACTATGTATGCTTGAAAGACAAAGTTTAGGTAGAACATTGAAACGCTCATTTAAATAGAGAGGGGAGAGAGAAAGAGAAAGCAATAAAAAAAAGGAGGAAATGAGATGGATGGCAACTTCATCCCTAGCCAATCGAAATTTTCAGATCAACACATAGTCATATCGTTTTTATAAATTTTTGTAGAAAGATTTTTTATTAATTAATAAATATAAACGCGATTTTATTATAATTTACATAAAATAGTTCGGTATTGCATTTTGTGTTGTAATCATAACAAAACAGTGTCTTACCACAAATAAGTTACACAATAAATACTTGTATTCTATGCTTACATGTTGTAGATTAAGTAAAATAATATTCTAATTCTTGCAGATTTCCAAAAGATATACAAATAAGAAAAAAATGGTTAGAGTTTTGTAATTTTGATGAAAATTTTGTGGTCAAAACTTCCACTTATTTATGCTCAAAACATTTCACGGAAAAAGATTACACAATAAGAATGAGCCAATTACAGTCGAGAATTTTTTTGAACACTTAATTCTAATTGGTTAATTCTTAATGTACGTCTTATGGTTACTGTTCCGGAAAGTGTGCCAGGGCCTTAAGGACTGCCGCACACAAAATTTCTGTAACAGTAACCTTAAGACGTGAACTTGAGTCGATGAATCAATCAGGATACTACTGTAAACAATTGACGACAACAGAGAGAAATGTCAGAGCGCTCCAGTCTCGATCCCAGGCCTGTTCTCTCCTTCGAGTTGGTAGACTTTCGCTCTGTCATTGAGTCACACAGTCCTGACGCTATTGGTATCTCTGTTGTGTATATATCTAGTGAATTTCTTACAGTTCGGCCCGTCTGACATCACATTCGTCCTCGAATGCTTAAATCAAGACCATAACTATTGTTGGCGTCTCTAATGAGCTCGACTCGCCTGACAACACATTCGACTTGGAATGTCCCCATGGCATTTCCCGTTATATCCAGGATCTTCTTCCAGAGATCATCGCCTGACCGTCATCTACCGGGCAATCAACTAATTCTCGTGTTCTCTGTCTAGGCATTTCTTGGCCTCTTCATCTGAGCTAGAGAGCCTATAATCAGAATGGCGCCATACGGATATCATTTGTGATTAGTCCGCCATGTTTTAGCCATTCCCTCCAATTTTTTAAACGCATTATTTTCTAAATTTTGAATTCATGCTAAAAAATGCTCAAAAATTGTGACAAATTAAAAAATGATAATAAATAAATATTGTATATAAAATAATAATATGTATAATATTGTATATAAAATAATAAAACTTTTACATATATTATTTATTATAAAATTTCATTTATTTTATACTATTGCAATATTGTACATTTTGTAATATTGCACATTACTTTATTTTATAATTGAAAAGATTACGACAAAAAGAGAAAGAATTAAATTCGTAACTAATGTGATGACTATACATATACTTAGTGCCAAGACACTACCGTGTCTTCAGATATTATTATATAATTAATCTGTGTATATGTTTTATATTATATTTTTATTTTAATATTTTAAATACATTATAAAGAATAAATTACTTTACCTCACATACATGAATTGTTTGACTGTGTCCAATTTTTATATTTGCCATTTATACTCTTTAACCAATTCATTCAGCATTCTGTGTCTTTCGGAATTATTTTCGTAACATATCCTTTTTTTAATGAATTGTTACAAAACGGTATTGTACATCCAACCATATTTCTAAAATAATTTCGATAATTTTATTTTTATCAATGTACCTTTACGTATCTATGTCGTTCAATGCTGTTGCACCTAATCTTAAAACCGACAGTCTGTTGGATAGACTGAGATCATATATTTCTCTCTCGCAGAATTTCGCTAAAACATGGCGTCATCTCTCGTATGGCACCACTCTGATTATAGGCTCTTTAATCTGAGCTATTCATTATTTTTGTCCTTGTTCTGTATCCGAGTCCCAGTCCCTCCTTTTACCGAATCATTCCGAGCATACTTCGGGCATTCTTATCACTGGTTCCGATTCCTAGGGCAGCCTATAGGGCAGGCCTATAGGCATCCCTATAGGGCAGCTGACATTTTTCCAGAACATTTTTCTAAAATCCTGAGAGGTTAGCAGGTACTCTAATCCCACTTTTGAGCTGTAAACAATTGACAACAACAGAGAGAAATATCAGGGCGCTCCTCGTCTCGATCCCAAGCCTGTTCTCTCCTCCGAGTTGGTAGACTTTCGCTCTGCCACTGAGCCACACAGCCCTAATGCTGTTGGTATCTCTGTTGTGTGTTATCTAGTAAATTTCTTACACTGCTTTAGATCTACGTACTCTAACGGAAATAGAAATAGCAGTAAACTTATCCATAAGGCAAATTTCAATCGGTTGAAATTCACCTTATTGTAAGGTTATGAATAAGTTTACTATTATTTCCATTTCCGTTAGATCATGTAAACCTAAAACAATATCCTGATTGGCTCATCGATTTAAGTTTACTTGTCGATCACTGCTGCGGAATTGTGTGTGGCAGCCTTAAATGGCATTGCCTTACGTCCTATCAATCAAATTCGAATAATACGTGTACTCGACCGGAGCTGACACGCCTAAAGTTAAAAAATTCCTGATAAAAATAAAATCGAAGAAGGTAACAAAAAATATTACTGTATCAATAGTACGAGAGTTCATGAGAATTTATGAGAAAATTCAGTATTAACGTTTATTTGTTGTTTGTTTAAAATATAATAACATATGTAAATTTAATATATTGCGATTAAAAAAACATGTAAGCCCTGATCTACAACAAATTTTTAAGCCTTAAAAAAATAGATGAATCATAGTTGATTATTCTCTTCATATTTGACTGTAATTGGTCAATTTCTTATGGCTTGGAGTGTTGTTCCATGACAGTCGGAATTTCGGAAAACGGAATTTCAGAAAAGTAATAAAATGGGAATTAATCAGAATTATTGAAATGTATTACTGTTTGTTGCACATGTACGTATCTTAAATATAAGATTGTTGAAATTGAATGTATTCTGTATGTATAAAAAGAAATTCATTATTAATAAATAAATTTGATAAGTATTCATTAATTAATTAATATATTGGGAGCGTACATTAATTTTAAAGGATTTTCAAGAGTTGGCGTAATTAGTACTGTCACTGTAAAAGGTTAAAGGCTTAAACACAATATCGGGATGTAATATTGAACTTACATAAAACTCTGATTGGATGGCTTCGTTGCCTGTGCCTATTTTCCTGTGCCTATTGTGTTTAAGCCTTAAGATGTGACTGCTGTGTCCAATGTGGCGCCAAGCGTGTCTGCGCGCCGGCGATGACTAATGGCGAAGGAAAATTGGCAGGAAATCATTAAGTTCACAAGAAAATGTTACTCATTGTTTCTGACTCACAAGCTATAAGGCGGTTTAATATAAATTCAAATGAATATTTGGAACGTACAAATCGAAAGAATAGAGATGTAATTGCATGTGTTACAATTGCTTGGATATTGATGTCGCATTATTAGATTAGAATATGAAGAACTCAAAAATCTACAATAAACGTTTATCTGACGACGCGAGCAATTACCTAATGATATAAGCAGTAATCGATGTCAATCTCGCAGTGAACATAGAGTGATTATTAATCTGACCGAACGCTAACTAAAATCTATCGCTGAGACTTTAAAAAGATCCACACGCAGAACGCCATGACATCAGAGAAAGAGAGAGAGGGGGAGGGGGGCAAACCGGAAAAAATAACTGACTCAAGCCGCAACTAACGCTTGCAACGCCACATCGCATCGGGCCATATTGTTGCTTCATGTTCAAAGCACCATCAGATGGTTTTAATTTTCAGTATGTGTCATTTTGCCGAAGTGTAAACATTATTTTTTTTTAACATTGAACATGTCGAATTTTATAGCAACAAAACGCAATTTGCGGGAAGCTTTGCTTTTTTACTTCCATTTGAAGAAAAGTGCTGCTGAAAGTCAACGAATGCTGTCGGAAGTACCATCCAATAGAACTATTTATAATTGTTGGTTAGACTGTTGGTTTGATGAATTCTAACATGGACGTACCTTTCTTTGTGACGATATGAATTCCGTGAAGGTCGTCCATCCACGTCTGTTGTTGCCACTAATGTGTTGTGCGTGAAATGATTGAGCGAGCATATAACTCGCATACCGTGAGATTCAGGCCTTAACAATCGGCGCGGTATTGCAACAGTACAGCAACGGATTTTTACAACCACTCAGCTTCTTTTCAAGGAAGCTCACGCCTACACAAACAAAGTATGAGTGCATATGATAGAGAATTATTAGCTATCTATATGGCTATCAAACATTTTCGATTCATGTTACAGGGACGAAATTTTCACGTTATCACGGATCATAAACCCCTCGTGTATGCATTCAAGAGGAAATCAGATCAAATGTCGCCAAGACAACCCCGTCAACTACTCTTCATTTCGGAGTTCACAACCGATGTACGTCACGTTTCAGGCGCCGAAACCATTGTAGCAGATGCATTATCTCGCGCCGACACTATCGTGATGCCAACTAGTCTCGATATGTAAGAGATTGCAGAAGCTCAAGCTTCGGATGATGAATTGCAACTGAAGCAATCTACATCAACGTCTTTGAAGCTTAAAAAGTTTACCTTATCGGAAACAGCATCCAATATTTACTGTGACACTTCAGAAGAAGAGATCAGACCTTACATTCCCAGACCATTACGAAGACGAGTTTTTGATATGGTGCATCAAATGTCACATCCAAGCGGCAGAGCAACTCACCGGCAAATTACGCAAAAATTTGTGTGGCCCTCCATGACTAAGGACATTAAAGAGTGGGCCCGCACTTGTCTAGCATGCCAGCAATCTAAAATTCATCGACATAACCATACCTCGCCTACCATAATACCAGTACCAGATATTCGTTTCGAGCATGTACATATCGCTATCGTCGGTCCTCTACCTCCATCCAAAAGTTTCAGGTATTTATTAATAATGATTGATCGATTTACTCGTTGGCCGGAGGCTATTCCATTACAGGATTGTACAGCAAACACGGTAGCGAAAATGTTTTTCACTCACTGGGTAGCCAGATTCGGAGCTCTACGCTTGATCACGACCGATCAAGGCTCGCAATTCGAAGCTGTTCAACACATTAAGCAAACTCATAGGTTCTAAACGTTGTCGGACAACTGCATACCACCCAGAATCTAATGGCATCATCGAACGATGGCATCGCTCTTTAAAAAGCATTAATGCCACGGTGAAATTCAATGGACTGATACACTGCCAGTAGTATTACTCTAACTAAGAACTTGTCTCAAAGAGGATCTAGGCGCTTCTGTAGCGGAATTAGTGCACTACGCTCAAAGTACCGGGTGAATTTTTCTCCTCTGAAGAAAATTGCCGAGCAACCCACGAATTTTCGTCGAGGATTTCCGTGTAATTATGCAAAAGTTGCGGCTTAAATCAACCTCTCATTACATTAGACCTAAGCTATTTTTCCATAAAGACTTGTATAACTGCTCTCACGTCTTCTTCAAAGTAGAAGGCAACAGACGTCCTCTGGATCAACCATACACCGGACCGCATAAAGTATTAGAGCGCATTTCGAACAAAGTCTTTGCTATAGAAGTCGACGGCAAATGCGTCAACGCCACTGTCAATAGACTTAAGCCCGCTTACTAATCCAAGACTCAGAAACTACTCCTCTGTCCACTGCGTCTTCAACTAACATTCCAGTGCAAGGTGAACCAAAGACATATCCTAGTCCAGCAATCAAGCGAAAGACTGTTAATTTTAAGAATTAATTCGTGCAATGTTACGTTAAGCAAACGACCAATAAGTATAAGTTTCTGTTTGTTCCATTTAATTTTATTTTTTGTTATTTTCGTTCTAGCGATAATGTAACCAGTATTTCTTTCTTTAACGTTTACATTGGGAGGGGAGTACTGTAGCGTTGCGAGTATTGGTTGCGGCGCTGCGAGCGCCAGTTGCGGCGCTGCGTATGTCCGTCGCGGCGCTGAAATTGGTCCTTCTTTCCGTTTCTTCTTCCTCTCGCTCTCTCTGGTGTCATGGCGTGCCGCGTGCGGATCTCGTGTAAGTCTCTGCGATAGTCAGTAAGTTAGAACTCGGAAGTTAAGGTTCCGAATTACTTTGTGTACACTGCGAGATCGATACCGATCACCGTTCATGTCTTGTGATAATTGTTAGCGTCGTTGGATAATTACTCAGAGTATATTTGCTTAATTTCTTGTATTGTAACCCCGCGACGCAATGCCGGTATTCGAGCCGTCTTACGCACGCAATCATGTTTCTATTTTTTAATCTATATTTGTGTTAAATAATTAGTCAAGTTTGTATTAAATCGCCTTATGGCATAAAAGTCAGAATCAGCGAGTAGCATTCATTTGCAACCTAACGATTTCCCGCCAATTGTCCTTTGCCGTTAGTTGGTAATCTCTAGCGTCCAGACACTCTCGGCGCCATATTGGGCACAGCAGCCGCATTAATGACCATATGCTGCCGCGCACTACTGCCTTCTGACAAAGTCATGATGATGTAAACCTACATAGATGTAAACTACATAGCAACGTCCACTTTTCTTAGGGTACATCGTCTATTTTTCAAGACTGGAGATGATAAATCGATATTTCATATAATCGTGCTACATATAGCACTTGAAAAATGGACGATGTACTCTAAGAAGCGCGCAGTAGTGCGCGGCAACATTTTATGGTCACAAGTTTTGTGCCGTCATAGGCCTCTCTCTACTGTTAATTAGAAAGACAACATTAACCCCGGATCTATAATAGATTTTTAAGTCTTAAGCTATAAAGAATGAACGAATCATAATCGATTATTCTCCTCACATTCGATTGTAGTTGATTAATTTCTTACAGCTTAAGGCTTAAAGCATTTATTGTAGACTCGGACTAAAAAAAGAAGAGGTTAAGGCTGATATTCATTTTTATTTTAAGACCGTAGTTAAGACGATCTTGAATATAAGATTTGACTATGAATACCAGCCTAAGACGAAGAAGTATCTATATCATATAGATACTCCAGATATAGAACACAAAATGGCGACACTTTATGACCACTCTAACAATGCTCTAACAGCGACAAGAATAGCATACAAATAAATGATATATAATTCACCTTCTATTGCACAATGCCGTGAAAGAAATAAAAATGCCATCCAACCTGATCTCGTATATATATTGGGTCATCTAAAAAGTATCCGCGGTACTTTATCACTAGATATATGACCATCAACACACATCTAGTGACAAAAAACCGCGGATACTTTTTAGATGACCCAATATTATAGTATATTCTTTCATCCGCTTTAAGGGATATGGTCAACATAATGCTACAAATGCTTTGAAACATTCTTTGATTCGTCAATCTGTAAAATTCTTCCTTCCGATTGGTTAATCAAATGCTTCAAAGCATTTGTAGTTTGCTCCAAAGCATTTGCATAGAGACTTTGACTGCACTCAAGATTATAGCACATATTGGGTCATCTAAAAAGTATCCGCGGTTTTTTGTCACTAGATGTGTGTTGATGGTCATATATCTAGTAACAAAGTACCGCGGATACTTTTTAGATGACCCAATATAAACAGAATGAAAAATCTGAACGCTGACTGGTAAGGCGATAGACACAGAATTCCAACTCGTCGGAAATTTATCACTATTCTATATTCTTATTTGCATTGATGGTCGTGTTCGCTTTGGCGCTCACAGCGCTTGTACATCAATTGTCCTTGTTTAATATTTAATAAACAATAAGAATGAAATGATGCTTAAAGCGTTATGAGCGCTAAAGCAAACACAGCCTATGACATTTCCGTATATTGGATTTCTCTGTTCCCATCACTATCGCTTTTGCTATGTGGAAAGAAGCAAGGTGAGTGTCATTACATGAAGTGCGGAAATGCGGAAACGCGGAAAAGAGGAAGACAAAATTAATTAAACTTTACTAGATTTCCGTGTTTCCGCGTGTTCTGTTCCATCTGTTTTAATCTCTTAATATTATATTGGGTCATCTAAAAAGTATCCGCGGTACTTTGTCACTAGATATATGACCATCAACACACATCTAGTGACAAAAAACCGCGGATACTTTTTAGATGACCCAATATATTTGTACAATTTGAGCAAAAAAGCAGAATTAGAAGGAGAATTAGAAATTATTAATTTTGAATGGTATTTATTGATTGAAATGCTTGTATTCAATACATAAGCTGAAAAGATAAGCATATTAATAAAAATTGCAATGAATTGAGTAAACACAATTTTTTTAAATAAATACAAAAGTGTATTTATCATTATACCGTTCTGCTTTTCCGCGAAAATTGTGCTCCATGTAATATTAGAAGAAATCCATGTAATATCAAAACAAGCGGAACAAAACGAGCGGAAACGCGAAAATTTAGTTAAATTTAGTTTTATTTTCCGCATTTCCGCGTTTTATGTAATAGCATCCTGAGCCATTAAGGCACTAAGTACGTAGATATTTTCATTCATCTTAGTCCCACTTGATAGTACGATTAGACAAAGGTAAATGTTAAGAGCCCAAATTTTGATAAAAATACACTGAATTGATGCATTTTCGTGTAAAAATAAAGATTTGATAAGAAAAAGGTATCGCTTTGCTCCACAAACAGAGATACTAATCCTTAAAGTTGATGACTATTCGGATTAAAAAATCTGTCATAACAGTGGTTCAAAAACAAATTCACTGCATTTTATGGCTGCCAGTACTGAAAATCTATAGCTTACGTCACGTCCACTATAGATTTTCAGTATTGGCAGTAAATTTTAGAATACAAGTACCTCTACTTTAAAGTAAAGAATTTATGTTTTTAAAGCATAGTGAATCGCTGTTAATCGACAGATTTCCTAATCCGAATAGTTATCGACTTTAAGGATAAAAGCCGCAGCACAGACTTTTGTATAATTCAAAACGCTTAACGATGAATGTCGGACGTCGTATAACGGATGTCGTACGTAGTGTGAATTCTATATTTTAAGTATGTTGAGTTTATTCGGAGTGATCCCGAACAGCTCCCGAGAGACAAAACGAACAATACTTATATCTATGAGCAGAATTCATAATCCGTTCTTATTTTAAGACCGTCTTAAGTAATGTCTTAAGGTGATAATGCGGCTCTCTGGCCGGTATTCATAGTCGAATCTTATTTCAAGTCCTAAGTAATGTCTTAAGATCTACTAATGCAGCCTTCTGATTGATTCGTGATATCTTAAGATTGTACTTAAGACGATCTTAAATACGATCTAAGAAAGATCTGACTATGAATATCGGTCTATGGAATACCTACATATTTAGTGTCTTAATTTCCGTGGATGCGCCGTAGTCTTCCTTACAGCACAAAACAGCCATAATGCTGCTATTACAGTGTTATTGCAGCAATATTGCTGCAAATTCTGTGCTGTATGGGCTAAAAATAATGGGGAACGGATAGCTAATCATGAGGGATCCATTTTATGAAAATCCAATATGGCTGTGTTCATTGCTCTTTGGCAGCAACTTTTTGACACATTTGTGTCAAAAAAAAAAGTGCAATTTCCATTTAATAATAATGTTAAATTAAACAAAGTAACTTATTTCGAGCTTATAATTAGACTGACTTTAAATTAATACAATAACACAGAAGATTAATACTATATAATAATCTAAATACAATTAATAAACTACAATTATAAACGTTTCGACTTACAAAGTCTTTTTCAGTGTAAAGCAAAAATATATTATTAAATTAACGAACAATTAGATAACGCATATAATGAAATATTAAAAAAAAAATCAGTGGTAATGTGTCAATTCATAAAAAATTCGAATGTCAAATTGTGTTAAGACAGATTACATAAAATAAGAAGAATGAAATACTTCTCTCTCTCTCTCTCAGTCAAAAGTAGATTAATATGATGTCCAAAAAAATAATTTTGTCAAATTCCTCGGTTGAAAACGGGAATTCAGTTTATCACAGACTTGAAACAATCGATTTGAGAGTTCAATTGTTACGAATATTTTATGATATTGTTAATTTATATAAAATACTGTAAAAATTTCAATTAAAAATCTCAATCGGAGATCTGGTCGAGTACATTAAAATTAGAAGTTGTCTGTTGCTCATTTGAAAATTGACTCAAAATAATTTAACATTATAGCATTTTCACTCTAATAATGTTAGAGTTTGTAATATTTTTATATTTTAACAGTTTTTATTAATATATCATTATTATTTTAACTTTTAATAATGTGTTTTTATTAATCATCTGTGAATACTTAAAATCTGCGCATATAAAATGAGCTTCCCCGTGATTGGTTAACAAGTCATGTTCCCCATTCTTTGTCGCTATTATGCGCAATGGCTCATCTTGCTTCTTTCCATCATTATTGTTTGCTATTTCTATTATTATCGCTGTTGCCTCGCATTGGGTTTAGAGCTTAACATCGGAGGAGACGAGACCAAATTTAACAATTACCACGTGTAATAATATTACATATGTAAATAAAGGATAATAATGAACATGATAAATATGCAAGACAAGATGCATGTTATTTTTGACATTAATTTACAATAAAGCATTGCCTATAAATGTATAACAATTATTAAAATTTTTATAATCAATATCTAACAATAATCTAAATTATAAAATTATACGATAAAGATAAATGTCCCACGTGACAATGACACGTACCTATGTCCAGATATTTATACAAAAATTTGTTCGTATTAATCTTAAATGCTTTTTTAAATACAATATCATACAATATTGAAACGACCTTTAAACGAGCAATAAAAGATTTTTTAATATAAAGTAACATGAGATTGTGTAGTCATACATTTTAATTACAAAGTGTGGACGATAATCACAATTGACATTTCGTACTCACAGTTGCACCACCGACTAAAAATCGTCCTGGAGCACAATTCTGTAACTGTCTTTATATACCTACTGACAGTTGTTGATATCGTTAAATGCGTCGGTCGACAAACTTCGAGTAAGTGCAATTCTATATCATTGCTACCGATAAAAATGTTACGATGTTCATTGTTAATTCACGATAATAATCATTAACTCTAACGTAACCTCCCTAGATAACGAAAACATATCGACACATTTGGACTTAGTAGCGACAACTAAAATAATAAAAATCGCTGTTTTATAACCTATTAAACAGATTGAAGACACATATAAAGTAAATACTTTTTAAATATTTAATTAATTTTATTAAAGTAATTTATATATTAGTATTTAATATTTTGGGTCATCTAAAAAATATCCGCGGTTTTTTGTTCAATTTTTGAATGAAATTTTTCTTTATTGAAAATCAATTTTAATCAAATATATTGGCCATTATTATCTATAACCTTTTGCCATTTTTCGGGTAATTTCATAATTCCATCCGTGTAGAACTTTTGTGGTTTATCGGCGAAAAAATTTTTCAAGTGATTTTCGACAGCTCTTTTGTCGGCCAATGTTTTTCCATCAAGAGAGTTCTGCAGAGATCGAAACAAATAGTAGTCAGACGGTGCAAGATCCGGGCTATACGGTGGATGCATCAAAACTTCCCAACCAAGCTCCAATCCCACCATACACACAGCATCACCTTATTTGCCATCAATCCAGGCTTTGAAGTCGTTTGTGGTGGTTCGCCGCGCTTATTCCATGATCTTTTACAAACAATGTATTTCACCCATTTTTCATCGCCTGTGATGATTTGCTTCAGAAATGGGTTGATTTCGTTGCGTTTTAGTAGTGTTTCGCTGATGGAAATTCGATCAGTCAAATTTCTTTGCGTTAATTCATGTGGCACCCAAACATCGAGTTTCTTTGCGTAGCCAGCCTGTTTCAAATGATTCCAAACTGTCATATGGTTGATTCTTAGTGCATTGGCTATCTCCTGACAGCTCACATGCCGGTCTTGCTTGACCAGTTGCAAAATTTCATCGACTTTTTCAGCGACTGGCCGACCAGAGCGAGGTCGATCTTTGACATCAAAATTTCCAGAACGAAATCGAACAAACCACTCCTGCGTCCTGCGTTCACTTACAGCATCCGCGCCATAAACTTCACAAATTTGTCTGCATGTTTGTGCTGCGTTTTTGCCTTTTTTGTAGTAAAAAAGCATCACATAGCGTATTTCTTCAGATATTTCACTCATTTTCAAACCAATATAACTTTTGACACGATTGATGAATCACCAAACTTTGTTTACAAAAAATGTAACCTAAAATGTCATCTTTCAGACGCGCGTTTGTTTGACACAATCGGATTAGTGTTGCCCGATATATGACCATCAACACCATCTAGTGACAAAAAACCGCGGATACTTTTTAGATGACCCAATATATTATTATAGTATATTATGTATAGCAGTGCTCGCAAAGATTTGCAAAGATTTTGGGCCGATTCCGGCACGCTATCCCCACTACCACTCGAAGTTCGGCGGCCGAGCCGCTGAGCGTTCACATGACTCTGGCTCAGAAGCGTCTCTGTGCGGAAGTCATATCTTACGTTATTAAAGAATATTTTTCTTTAATAAAATTATTTTTGTTTCCTTTAAAAAATCAAATGCTAAATTTTCTAAAACACAGCCGCGTCGTTCGAACTTAAAGGCTCGAGGCGGTGAGCGGGACGTGCCTGCTAGGCCATTCCCGCTTCTTGCGGCCCGCGCGCCGTGCGCTCGATGGGCCGTATCTTCGGCAATAGTAGGTCGGGTGGACGCGCGTCTATCTTTAACGTTAATATCTCGTTAATTATTGCGAACATTGCAAAATAGTAGAGGACTTTTCTATTTAGTTTAGTCCGCTCTACTTGCTCGGAACGAATGGGATATATTCATGACACCCTGTATATTATATACAATATATTATAATATATATAATATACTATGATAATAATATATAATATTAAATATTAATAAATAAATTATATATATAATATATATATAATATAATATATTATTATATATTAATATATTTAATGTTGAACTGTTCAACTGTCTGAACCGATTTGATTCTCCATATGTTTTAAAACACGAAAATCTAAGAGACACGTATTTTTATACGTGCGCGAACACAAGTGTTTAAGGGATGAAACAC